AAGACAGTTTGTCAAGGATGATACACAGAAAGGATGGAAGATTCTAGGTTCTGATGATACCATGGAGTAACTGGACCACCAATAAAAAATACCTTTCTTCAGAATCCCTATTTGTTTGGTGTTATTGGGCACCATTGAGTCAGTTCCTACTCTTAGTGACTGTATGCACAGCAGAATGAAACACTGCCTGGTCCTGAGCCATCCTTACAATTGTTGTGTTTGAGCCAGTGCTGCTGCCACTGTGCCTATCCATCTCCTTGGGGTTTTCCCTCTTTTTGGATGACCTTCCTTTCAGCAAGTATGATGTCCTTCTCCAGGAATTGATCTCTCCTGATAACATGTCTGAAGTATGAGAAGCAAAGACTCACCATCCTGACTTCTAAGGAATACTTTGGCTGTACTTCTTCCAACACAGATCTATTCTTCTGGCACTTCAATATTCTTCTTCAACACAACTCAAATGCCTCAATTCTTCTATGGTTTCCTTACTTGTGTCCAACTTTCACTTGCATATGAGGCTATTGAAAATACCATAACTTGGGTCAGATGCACCTTAATCCTCTAACTGATATCTTTGCTCTTGAACACTTTGAAGAGGTGTTGTGCAGCAGATTTACCTAATGCAATACATCATTTGACTTCTTGATTGCTGCTTCCATGAGTGTTGATTGTAGATGATGTATTTGACAACTTCAAACTTTTCTTCATTTATCATGATGCTATTTATTGGTCCTGATGTAGGATAAGCACTTGATTGCAAGGTCAGTTTGAACCACAACATTGGCAGTTCCTACTCACCACCGCTTCTTGGAAACCTTATACAGGGTTGCTATGAGTCCAGAACCGACTCAATGGCACTGAACAACAGCAACAACATTTATTGGTTCAGTGGTGAAGATTTTTGTTTTCTTTACATCTCAATGTAAAGCTGCAACTCATACTGAAGGGTGGGGTTGTTGATCTTCATCAGTAAATGTTTTATGTCCTCTTTGTTTTCAGCAAACAAGCTTATATCATATGCATATCACAGATTGTTAATGAGTCTTCCTCCAATCCTGATGTGATGTTCTTAATTTATTTCAGATTCTCAGATTATTTGCTCAGTGTACAGACTGAATAAGTATGGTAAAAGGATACAACCCTGGCACACACCTTTCTTGATTTAAAACCATTCAGTATCCTCTTGTTCTGTTCTAACAATTGCCTCTTTGTCTATTTGTAAATTCCTTATGAGCACAATTAAGAATAAAAAATGTATTCCTATTTGTTTAAATCACACCAATAAAAATTATTAATATTTACAGGCAAAACATTCCAACTCAAAAATACTAGTGTCTGGCAAAATATGTCAATATTCTCTTTGGACAAGATGAAAGTATTCAAATAAAAACATTTGAGGCTGTGAATTTGGTAGCCTCAATGACTCCCAAATAGTGTTCTTGTGTATATCCGGTCCTCTTATTGTTGTTGTTGTGTGCCATCCAGTGGTTCCAACTCATAGTGACCATGTATAGGGTTTTCAAGGAGCAACTGGTGGGTGTGAACTGCTGACCTTTTGACTATCACCATTAGCAGTTCAGTACTTATCTTACAACACCACACCTATCCTCTTGGGGGGGGGGGTGCAAACCATCAGCATTACATTCTTTCTTCTTTCCAAGGGAGCTATTAGGTATAATCATGCAGTTGCTAGGTCAATTGTGTTATCATTAGGATGAGTTAGTAACAATATCACTTCTGTCCTCTGAGACACAATGGTTTATACAGTCAGAGTACCTTTAAGAGAGTCCTGGTTGGTGCTGTGAGATAAGGACTAGACTACTAACCACAAGGTTGGAGGTTGAAACCCACCAGTCACTCTTCAGAAACCCTGTACAACAACAGTTCCCTTAAGGACTCAAAGCCCTTTGTTCTCTCATTTAGGTATCTGATCTCTGTCTCTAAGGAGCTCTGGTAGAGTACTGGTTATGAATCGGGCTGTGAACCTCAAGGTCAGCAGTTCGAAACTACCAGCTGTTCTGTGGGAGAAAGATGAGGCTTTCTGCTCCCATAAAGATTTACAGCCTCAGAAACCCGTACAGGGTCACTATGGGTCAGAACAGACTCCACGGCACATAACAAACCAACCAATCTCTATCTCTAAGGTTCACTATCTCTGTCTCTGAGGTTCACAGACAGGCAAGTAAGTAGTTAAGACTAAGAAAAATATAGACTGGGATTGAATACGGCAATTTGGCACTCTGGACTAGAACCTTCTAATATCTTTATTGAGTGTCAGTGATGGTTACTTTAAATCATAACTTTCTTTTGAGACAGACTCATAGGAGTAAGAATAAGCACTCGATTATAAAGTTGGATTGAACTACAAGGCTGGCAGGCCAAACTCAGCAGCTGCTCCTTAGAAACCCTATACAGGGTCACTATATAAATCAGAACCAACTTAACAACAACAACTTAGTTCACTAATGGAGAAAGTGATGCAAAGATAATTAAATTGTTTTGATTAAGGTCTATAGAAAGCTGGTAGAACCAAATAGAGGCCCCCAAAATCCATTTCCAGTGGACAGATGTCTCTGCTCCCTCAAATCTCCTTTTTTTATTCTGAAATCTTTTTATGATTATTGACTCATTTGACTGTGCTCATGATTATTGAATACCCACGCCGAATAACTTGTTGGACAGAGGACATATTGGTGTTTATAAAAGAGAATGATGAGCTCCACTAGAACTCTTCACATGGAAGATAACCCATAGAGAGAATGCACACAGCTGTTTGCTGGAAACTTTGGCAAGATTCCTTGCCAGCTCTCTGTAGGCTCAGGTTGCTTTTCTAAGTTGAGCAGTAGAATGACACTATTACACTCTTGATAGGTCTTATTAGAAGGAGTGTCATGGGTTTTTATGGAAAAGTAGTCACAACATCCTTCTCCTAAACCAACATATACAGAGGTTTTACAATATGGTGCCACCAGAGTCCTGAAATAAATAATAAATAGAGAAGGGTGGCCCTAAGTGACTTTGTTTTAGACACTGAAAGCAGGGTTTTATTTCAGAGGGAATAAAAATGCTCATTGGAATGAAAGTTCTTTCTGGCTGCCATTTTTTCCTCTGGCATTCATCCTTTTGGAAGACTTAAGGATCCCTGTAATGTATAGGATGGACAGACACACTTTAGGGGTGGTGCTGTGAATGTTTGACCAATCACTACTACCTGCGACACCTAAAATCGGTCTCACTCTTGAAAGCAATTGCACATGCTTCTAACTCCTTTCAGTCTCACGATTATTATTGGATTAAAAATATATCTGGCAGTAACAATATATTATAGCTGGTGTATGCAGGAATTGCTCATCTATTGCATACATTACAAAACAGATTCATTTAATCATTCTTGTATCAGATATTTATTTAGCATATGTTATGTGCCAGGTATAATGTGTTTGTGCTACAGAAAAAAATAAAAGAAAGAAAGAAAAAAGATGTAGCCTTTGACTTCAATGATGTTGCAATCTAATTGGATTGACAGAAAAGTCAAGGTAATTACAAGACTCTTTGCCATCAGGATTATTCTATCTGGGAAGAATAAATACCACCCCCCCCCCAACTTTTAAATCTACCCTAATCAGCCTACTTGTTTTCCTTTTCTTTCTTTTTTTTAATGCCTTCTCTATTTTATTTATTTATTTCCTTTATGTCTCTCTCTTGAGAATGTAAGTCTAATTTTAGTTCCAGACATTCTTTAATGTGGGTACTTGCATAAGCAATCTATGCTCAAGGTTTTTGCTCTCTTGTGATATGTCATACTTAATTAACTGTCACCCTCACTATTAATGCCGAGATATTAATTTGATGGATCTTAATTTCTCTTAATCATGGCATCATTGTGATCCCTTCGCTGGACAAATTTTTAAAATGACACACACCACAGCGGAGAGATATTAATAGTGTATTATGGTGCTCGGGAAAAAAAAAAAAAAGAACTCTACAGTAATTGCATGTTTTCCTGTGAAGAATATCTGTTTCTTAAATGGTTTCGGCACCCTGATTTCCTTGTTAGCGAATGGATGTGTTCTCTTAGATCACCTCTGGACTCCGTTTTGCACATACAGATGAAAATACTTCCAAATTTAAGAAATGCTTTCCCTGAGAAGAATTCTCCAGGGTTGCTGTGTTATCTGCCTGGCAAGGTCTTTTTACTATTAATATAGGCATCAAAAATATACATGTGAAAGTTTGGTCTGTTCCTTCAGTCACAGAGTCTGTGAAGAGCTGGTATACAGGAGGAAAGAGCCAAGTTGAAAGGTGATTGATTGATCAGAAGAAGTTGGATCCATTTGCAGATATTTCTTTCTCTCTTTTCTCTGGTTCACCTAAACATTTTTTTTCTGTCATTCCTCTGTGTCCTCTCCTACTCTGCATCCTTCCTGCATGACTTTACTCATATATATATATATATATATAGTGGTTACAAATCAGGCTGCAAACCTCAGGGTCAGCAGTTCGAAACTACCAGCTGTTCCATGGGAGAAAGATGAGGCTTTCTGCTCCCGTCAAGATTTATTGCCTCGGAAACCCTGTACCTGGTTGCTATGAGTTGGAACCAACTGCACGGCACACAATAAAACAACATATATTGAAACTCTAGTGAAGATAGCCTCTGACTCCGTCATTCAACTCCCTCAATCTTGAGATATGACTGGCATAGAAGGTAACTGTGGGATATTTCCAGAAAGACTCCCATCAATCAAGTCTAGTCATCTGGATGCTACAGACCTGGGATGGAATAATTCCCAGCTTCTTGGTTCTGACTGTGTGAGTGATGCTGAGTGGTGACCGCACTTATAACTCCAATTCCCTCATTAAAGGAATAATAGCAAGATTTTCCTTCCTCCATCCTTGGTACTCACTACAGTTAAGTATTTCAAGCTTTGAAGGCCAGGAGTTCAAGGAAGACAGAGACAAGAGGTCACATGGGATGTGCACCTCTGGGGCTCACTTACCTCCAGGTACACCACCCAGGGCATCACCAAGGTGGCCACCAGAAGGTCTGCCACAGCTAGGCTCACCACCAGGTAGTTAGTAGTGGTCTGTAGGGCCCGCTCTCTCAGCACCGCTACACACACCAGTCCATTGCCAAAGACGATGACCAGGATGAGAGCACAATAGGACAGGGCGTAGTAAGCATGTGGACGAGCCCAACTAGCACCTGTGGAGTTCTCCATCCCACAGGTGGAATTGACATAGCCACTCAGCTGACTCAGAGGTGCCATGGCCATGAGGGAGGGTCTTGGCTCCAAGGGGTTCCCTGAAAGAAGACAGAAAACAGTATGGGTAAAATCAGATTCTTTGAAGTTTGTCTGCTTGAGTACATTCTCTCTCTCTCTCTCTTTTTTTTTTTTTTTAACTTTTTATTAAGATCCGGGTTAAAATTTACAGAGAAAATTGGTTTTTCACTCAATAATTCATTCACATTTTGTCTCATTACATTGAGAGCAATATCCACAATGTAACAGCATTCTTCCCACTTCCTCTCTGTGTTTCCTTCTTTTCTATCCTTCTCTGTCTTCTGAGTTTTCTCCCTGGGAAAATGCTGTCCTTTTGATCTTCTATGTTGATTGTTCTAAAGAATGCTAAGCCCTTGCTATTACTGTTCACCTATAGCGCTATGTATTGTTTGCTGGGAAGTTGAACCATGGAGGTGGGTTCAGTTTCAGGCATGAAGGATGATTAAAGGACATTGTCCCAGAAATACCATTGAGTGCATTCTTGAATTCTTGTTTTAACAAATATTTTTTGAGAACATTTTGAATGGCATACACCATTCTAAACACTATTCTAAGAGACAGAACAATGAACAAAATGGATGAAAATCCTAGTTCTCATAAAACTATATTCTAGAGCAGAAGACAAATAAGAAACAAGATAAATATTATCTGTTCCATGATGACATTATTATGGAGAGAAACAGCTCAGGGAAGGAGGTAGGAGTGGATGAGAAGTGTGTGTGGATGCACACACCCATGCAAGTGAGGGTGGTTAAGTGTAATTTTGACATAGGATAATCAGGGAAGCTCTTATGGAGAAGGTGACAGATAAATTAAGTCCTGGAGAAGATGAGGAAAAAGACATTCCATATATCTGGGGAAGAGCAGCACACACAGAGGAAACCATAGGTACAAAGATAAGAGCTGGTCTGCTGAAGAAACTTCAGGGAGGCCTGTGTTACCAAGCAGTGGTACAGTAGCATGGCTTGAGGTGTGGAGATTGTGCAGGGACATTGAAAGAACCACACCTTGTACCATGGGAGGATTAGAATCCATACTCAGTCATGTTCTAACTCTGGGAGAACTGTAAGCATGTAACTTAGTCTTGTTGAAGCCTCAATTTCCTCTTCTGTGAAGATTAATGAGCAATTTTATCTGTAAGACACTGAAAGCTATGCCTGGCATAAAGAATGCTATATGTTAGCTATTTTTCTCTTATTGGCCTATTTCTTTTTGGCTTCCTCTTTCCTTTCCTTGTTTTCTCTCCCTCATTCTTTTTGCCCCCAGTGCCTTTCCCCCTGCCTTCTTCTATCTCTTTTTATTTCCTCCAATCTCTTATTCTTTTTCATATTTTACACTAGACATGGTGGGTTTGGGAAACTGTGTTGTGCTAGAAAATCTGAAGAACAATGGGGACTAGAGGAAGTACAATGTTTTTTATATTTAGAAAAAAATCTATGTCAGAAAGTTCATGGATAAATTGAATGAAAAAATAATAGATTTCCCCCCCACAAACTTTGAAATCCTCCTCTATAGTTTTATTTGAAAATTCCCAAAGTTTTAATGATTGTTGTTGTTAAGTGCTGTCAAACCTTTTCCAACTCATAGTGATCCTATGGAGGGTGTCCGTGGAGTGACTGGTGGGTTTGAACAGATGACCTTGGGGTTAACAGTCCAGTGCTCACCCTACAGTGCCATACCAGGACTCCTTTTGAAGATTGTTGTTTTTGGAAAGTGCCGTCGAGATGGTTCTGACTCATAGAGACCCTGTATAGGGTTTCCAAGTAGCAACTGATGAGTTTGAATCTCCAACTTTATGGTTCAAACTGACCTTCCAGTTCAGTGCTTATCCTACAGCCCCACTTTACCAATTAAGACATGGTTAAGCCCTGTGTTGTCCCATTTACCAACAGTTTCTGACCCCTGACCTAGTCCAATGCCCTCAATTTTTCAAACAGGACAATTGAGACCCAGAGAGATGAATAACATATCTTTATATAGCTCAGTATCAGACGAGCTAGCATATAGGCCCTCTAAGTCCTCCAAGTCAGGGAAAATCACTTTTTTTGGCATCTGAAAGTCACAAAACCTGTTTTTATCACCATTCCACTGGGAAGTTAACCTTAAACTACTGGGACTTTAGACTAAGAATGGAAAAAGTATAAATGCCCATCAACTGTCCTTGTGATGCCAGCCAGATGGGAACAGCCCGGGAGAAAGGACCCTGGGCTCTCAGATCAAGTTTACATATGGCACCATGTCCTGAAAAATATAGAGAGACTTGCCTGTGCACCAGTGGTACAGTGGAGTAAGCACTGGGCTGTTAACTGAAGGCTGAAGCTGTCAAACAGACAGCTGCTCCTTAGGAGAAAGATGAGGCAATCTGCTTCCATAAAGACTTACAGATTCAGAAACTCTATGGAGTAGTTAGTTCTACTCTGCTCTGTAGGGTTGCTAGGAGTCAGAATTGACTCAACAGCAGTGGATTTTGTTTTGTGTGTGTGCCAAGGGTAACAGTGCATCAAAGCCACATGCAGACAGAAGACTCAAGGCTTGTAGCCTACAGTGTCACTAGGGTGAGAATGACTCTTGCTCTGGGCTCTGTGTTGTAGAGGGTTCCCCTCTGGTCATACCTTCCCAATGGGATGAGGATCCCAGAGCCAATAGAAGATTGAAGACCATACATTGAGTACTGAAATCACAGAAATTTCTTTGCAAACTGCTTAGGGCCTGCTTTCAAGGCTGGTTATTGGTTGTGTGTTGAAGAGTAAATACCAACTTGCAGTGACCCTGCATTGGGCTTCTAAGGCTGTAGATCTTTTGGGGAGCAGGAAGTCTCAGGGCAGTAAGGGCCTAATTGTAGACTTGTCATTCTCAGTAGTCTATGTCATGTGTGTGCACACCCCTGATCTAAAACTGTAGTCCTTTGGTGCAGCTTGGATGGGTGGCCTGGTATGCCCATGTACCTGTGTGTGAAGACCACATCTGAGGTGGAAAGAGAAGGGTCCAAGAGTGGGGGGCAGCATGGAGGTAAAGACCCTGCTTCTTCTGTGCTCCCACAATCTGTATGGAACTCCCAAATCAGGGACTCCAAATCTAAACCTTGTTATGAAAATGTATTTTTCAAAGTAGATGGATTAAACAGTTTCTTCAGCAGTTTGTTAGTTATGACTGTAAAATATTTAGACATACAGTATATGGATGGGCCTCCAAGGGAACCTTTGCTCCAGACCTGGCAAATGTAGTGACTGGTTTGGTGACCTAGAGTAGTTTTCAATCCTGGTCTTTTCAGCTCTCAGTAGATTGAGAGATTGGTGTAGTCATGGCTGTTACTGCTTGCCACATTTTGCAACATTTCAACCTGGAAAATGAGAGTGTTTAGATGAGCAAATGATTGGGAAAAGGGGTGACCAACTTGGAATAAATTCAAAGAAGTGTTTTTTAAAAAATGTTCTTATCTTGGCACACTGTTTGCACTCAATGTATTTAAAAACATAATGATAATTCCTTATAAGAATTATAATTTTCTCATTATTCAGAGAAGGGCAGCTGCTACCCCGGAGATAGCACTGCTGCTGCCAAGAGCTTCTGGAAAAAATACAATGCTTTCTGATTGTTCAAGACTATTCTACCTCTGAGGCAGGCTCAAGCCCAGAACATTGTCCCTTCTGCAACTGGGACACCTTGGAAAGCAGTGGCCAGAACTCACTGTTTCCAGAGGTTCCTGTTGTCTAATGACTTAGTTTTATTTCACCTGTCAAGTAAGAGGGAAGTACCCGGAGATGTTTGTTACCATCCTGCTGGACACTTCACCCTGCCAAAAGGTCTGACAGCTACTTAAAAATAGCATATTTGAGTGTTGATGGCAAATTATTTGAAGGAGGGAAACCCCCAATTCTGAAAATCAATTCTAAGCCTGATGTTAGAATCACAGTTGCATGGATTTTTGGATTTATTAATCAGATTGTACTGTCAACAGCATTAAGTTCTTCATAGCAGCAGGTGGGGTAAGTGGTGGTTGCCCAGGCAGTTCCTGCTGAGTTGTGGGTAAGAAAGATGAAAGCAGAGATGAGTGAGATGCTGGATTACTCCCTGTATCTCAGCTAATTATTTCAATGTCTCCCTCATTAGATCTTTTTTTTTCCCCAGAGTTGCTTGTATAACACAGAGCTGGGCTTTCTTCTTTCCTCTCATTCTGGAAGATATGCTAACTGATAATAAATGATGGTCTTTGGTAGGGAGAAACAAAAGGCTTGGAGAATTCATTAATTTAATAATCACCATCTAAGTAATTCATAATAATAACATGGTTTACTCATCAGCAAAATGGGGATAATCACACCTTCTCCATAGGACTGTTGTTAAGATTAAATGAAATTATATATGTAAAGGCTCAGCACTTCGTTGTGGGGGAACATTCTTTGCATTGTGGAATGTTTAGCAGCATCCTTGGCATCTACTCATCAGATACCATTAATACCATCCTTCTAGTTTGACAACTAAAATGTCTTCAAACATTGTTAAATGGTCCCTGGAAGGCAAAATTGTACAAAACCACCCCCACCTTAAAATTGTTGCGCCAGCATAATGTCTGACAAAAACAAAACAAAACAAAACAAAAGCCTCTTGAAACGCGGTTGGTTTTGTTGTTAAAGAAAAAATAGGAAGAAAAGCTACAATTGCAAAGTGTCTAAAGGGCTTAAAAATGAAGAGATTACTGGTGATGTCCATATGGAATGTTAGGAGTTGAGAGTGGATAGGAGGCAAGAAAGTGGAGAGCTAGAACTAAATTATTGCTGATCTTACTCTTTTCAAGTTTACAGAAAGCAAAGAGGACTTAAAGCACTTGTTAATGAGGGTCAAAGGATACAGCCTGCAATATAGGTTGCAAATCATACAGAAATCTATGATTACAACCCAATGTAAAGAAAACAAACATCCTCATAAGTGGACCAATAAACAACATCATGATAAACAGAGAAAAGATTGAAGTTGTCAAGAATTTCTTTTTTCTTAGATCTGCAATGAACACTCAAGGAAA